CAGGGTTTCCGAGGCTGTAAATCTTTATGGGAGCAGAAAGCCTCATCTTTCTCCCGCAAAACGGCTGGTAGTTTCAAACTGCTGACTTTGAGGTTAGCAGCCCAACTCATAACCACTACACTACAGAGATTAAGGAAGACTTCAAACTGGGGTTAGAGCCAGGGCCCTGCCCACACATTTTAACCCCTCTGTGGCTGCCTTAGTTCCCTAGAGCTGCATGAGGGAGACAGGACAATGGAGGCTGGAACAAGCACAAATGTAAGCTCTCCCAGTTTAGGAGACTACGAGTCCCAGGGCAGGGGAAAGCCTCTCTCTCTATGGGCTCTGGAGGAAGGTCTGGGGCTCTTTTCAGGATCTGTGGATGCAGTGGTCCTTGGAGCACTCCATGTGTCCTGGCACGCATCTTCACCTGAGCTTAGGAGGCTGTCATTCCAGGGATCCTGGGCCGGAAGACACACTATGCTCCCGGCTCTGCTTTCTGGGCGGTATGAGGTCCCTTAGCTCTCCTTGTATTTCTTGTAACATGACACGTGCTGCAGGCCACACCCCTGGGAGACTCCCCTTATATCAGACCCAAGACCAAGAGCAGAGTGTGTCCTGAGTAAGGGAATTGCATCACACCCTAACTCTACCTCATTCACATAAACACAATTGAACCCTCATTAACATTAACACAACTGAACCCTCATGAACATACACATAACTTAACCCTCATTAACATAAACCAAACTGAGTCCTCATTAACATAAACCTAACTGAATCCTCATTAACATAAACACAATTGAGCCCTAATTAACATAAGGAGTCCTGGTTAATGCAACAGACTGCAAAGCCAGCTGTTTGAACTGCAAGGTCGGTAGTTCAAGCTCACCAGCTGCTCCTGGGAAACGCTATACAGGGTCGCTATGGGTCCGACTCCACAGCACTTCCCAACAACAACACAATTAACATAAACATAAGGACTCCTCATTAATGTAAAAGGATCCTGCCTCATAAACACACAAGCTATCCCCATGGAAGGGATTTTCCAACTCAGAGGGACACTATATAGGATTTTCAGGACTGGTAGAGTAGTGGTTACGAATTGGGCTGTGAACCTTAAGGCCAGCAGTTCGAAACTACCAGCCGCTCCGAGGGAGAAAGATGAGGCTTTCTGCTCCCGTAAAGATTTACAGTCTCGGAAACCCTGTACAGGGTCACTATGGGTCGGAACCAACTCAACAGCACTTAACAACAACAACCAACCTTTATGAGAGTAGACAGCCTCAGCTTTCTCCTGCTTAGAAGTTGGTGGGTTTGAACTGCCGACCTCATTGTTAGCAGTTCAATATCTAGCCCACATGCTACCAGTGTTCCATCAACACAGAAGTCAGGATTATAACACATCACAAGAGGAAGAATAATTACAACTAATCACAAATAGAAGACAACCATACACTGCAGAGAATCATGGCTTAGCCAAGTCCAAATCTGTATTTCTGGGGGACACATTCAACCCATGAGTGGCTAAAGCAGGTCTTGTTGTTGTTAGGTGCCATTGAGTGGGTTCTGACTCATAACGATTCTGCATAAGGTTTCCAAGAAATTTGAAACACCAACCTTGCAGTCCAGCACTTTAGATGGAAGTTATTCATTCAGATTTCTTGACAACAATACATCTACCCACATGAACTTAACCTAAAGACACACAGGAACAGAAAGGAAGAGGAAACCCCTGTGGAGAGCTTTCTTGCTTCACATTAAGTATGCGGATCAGGGAGCACACACAACCTCAACCAAAATCCTGGATTACGGTAGTACCTGTTCTGCCACGAGGTTGGCAATTTCTTCGTAAGTTTTTCCTGCTTCTGTTATTGCATTATTGAGATCGGTCTCTCCTGGAAATGAAGACACATCAGTGGTTTTAGGTTATAAATATTTTTTGGTGTATCTTAGTTAAAAAAAAATGTATTATAGGAAATTTAACACATTTTCAACACTAGAGAGACTAGTGTGATGACTTTCCACTTCTCACCCAGCTCTACAAGCAACAACACGCGGCCCTACCTTTCCCACTCATTGGACGTACATGACATTTCACCCGTAAATATGTATTCTATCAAAAGGTAAGGACGCCTTTAAAATCAGAACAATATAATGATCACATCTCAGCCAATAATTCCTAACACCAATGATTCAGTTAGTGTATAGACAGTGTAAGTCGTAGCTTCTTGAGTTAGGATCCAAAAGCCTGCATGGCATACACCGTGTGGTACATACAGCTCTCTGATGCTGCTAGACCAGGAATACTTTAAGTGGGGAGCTTTCACAAACAGAAGTGTATTTTCTCACAGCTGGGAAGTCTGAAAGCAGGGCGCTGTCTCTAGGGGAAGGCCCTTGTCTCGGCTTCTCTAGAGCTCTTCCCGGGGCTCCTGAGGTGTCTGGGTAGCATTTGTCTTTCCTCAGTTTGTGCCCAAGCTGTTCTTATCACCACTCAAAAGGCATCAGATGCAAGACACACTCTACACTGACATGGCCTCAGTAATACAATAAAGAAAACCCCGTTTCCAAACGGATTCCATCTACAGGTAAAGGAGTTAGGGTTCCAACACATGTTTTGGGAGGCATACAATTCAATCCTCAAAATACCCGATGGGTTTCCTAAATTTATAGGGTTCCCCCACACATTTATAATTTTTTTGGTTGTTGTAGACTAAATGGCAGTCCTGGGGCCCAGCAGACTTATGCCATTTCATCACTAATACATTTCCAGCTCAGCTGCTAACCAATAGGTGAGTGGTTCTACTCCAGCAGCTGCTCGGTGGGAGAAAGACGTGGAAACCTCATTGGCCAGTTCAATTCTGTCCTAGGGTTGCTATGAGTTGGAATAGATTTGGTGGCAATGGATTTGGTTTTTGGCTTTATGGATTAAATTGTCCCCTTAAACTATAGGCTGAAGTCTGTGAGTGGGAACCTGTGCGGAAACTCAGACATTGTACCAGAGCAGAGTGGGTTCTACACCAAATCCCTTCAAAGCGGTGCCCACCAGACACAGATCCAGCATATCCTAGTAAAGGCCAAGTAACGCCGAGAGACACTCAGGGCTGCCAGACACTGAGAGAGACAAGGAGAGGTCTTCTAGAGCGGACAGCAGAGCCCTACTGACTCCTCGCCAGTAAGTTCCTGTTTGTTCAAGCCACCCACGTGAGGTATTTTCATTAAGCCAGCAGGAGGAGACTTGACGAGTGTTGAAGAAACCAGGTCATGTGCCTCAGTACCCACACTCTGCAAGTTACCTCATTCCTCTTGCCCCTCGATTTTCTTTAAACTAGTAGAATGAGGCGTGCCTGCAGTATGGCAGACAAGAGGCGTTCTTGAATGGAGAACTGCTGCATCCTGAGTTGGTTTGGATCCTGAATTGTACCCTGTTCATGTCCCTAATAAACCCTAAAATCGTGAGTATTGTTAGGAGTTGTGTGTGGCCACTGCAGTGGATGATGGAACCCAGATGTGAAGCAGAGAGTGCTATGGGAGGGTGTCAGAACAGGGTAAAGACGGTTGTAGGGTGGAAGCACATCTGACTTCTGCTTCATAGCAATTGGCCTTGGGCTGATGGCCTTGGGTTGTAGGGTGGAAGCATGCTTCATAGCAATTGGCCTTGGGCTGATTTTGAGTCTCTGGGAAGCCACGTGAGGTCAGATATGGTTCCCAGTGGTTTTTGCTTGTTGTCAAAGGGGGTACCAATGTAGACATTCATCTGGAACACCACAGGGGAGATCTACACTGACAGATGGGCTGGCAACAATCATGACTTAAGGAGACTTAAAACAACATGCATTTGGTTCTTGGTCAAATATCTTTCCTTCAAATGAACTTGGTGAAAGCAGGCCTTTGTTGCACAAAGACTGGACTCTTCAGAGTTTGGCCGAGAGGAGAACATGAGAGGAAAAAATTGTGTACTCTAGCTACTGTCCCAGTAAAACAAAAGAGCTACATCTGGGAGTGAAGAAAGGCCAACAATGTTGGCAAGTGAAGACTAGTGACTTCAACCCTCTACTTTGCTCAAAAGTACTAAGCAGATATTTCCAGCGTCCAGAGGGCAGCAGCCCTGCCAATGCCTGTGTCAGGACAAGGGGGCTCAGCTGCAGAGTCGTATCTGTTTCCAGGGTGGGCAGTCTGGCCCAGGGACTGAACGAGCAAAGGTTACCTTGATAACCGCTAGAGCTGAACACGGCGGCTAGACTCTGCAGGGCCTTCCCGATCTTCTGGTACTCCTTGGGCAATGCTGAAAGAGAGGCCGGAGTAGACAGCTGACTATCGTCTGAGCACATGGAAATGAAGTTAGACTGTTTTCTAAAAGGGATCACTTCTCTAATCAAAGGATGTGAAGTGATTTAGTGTAGTCCCTGTTCTGTAGGCAATCATGGATGTGAATGGTAGGTGTTACTGTTAGGCACCAGCAGGGTCCACAGTCTCATTGATGGGAAGCTCAACAGGAGACGATGCAGAGATTACAAATCACCTTCACACAGCCGGCCCCACCCGCACCCCCACCCCAAGACCCTGAGCCCAGGAAAGCAATCACATCTTCACTGGGGGACAAGAAAAATCAGGGCCAGAGAGCTAAGAAATGTCAGAATTGGCATTTGGGATTCCACTGTGTTACACATGCATGTATAAACAATCATTAAGAAAGGATGACCCCAGGACCAGCAAGAAGGAGGAGCCTGAGATCCCTACCTAGATAAGCAGTGACAGCAAAGGGGGGTGGGGGGTGGGGAGGCAGAGGTGGTGGCCTGGAGAGACAGAGCAGCTGTGGGCCCATGGACTGAGAAGGCTGTGCCTGCAGACAGAAGGCTGGCTTGCAGAATGTACCCTTTGGACATTTAAAAGAGTATATATTGTTTTGTTTTGTATGTGTGCATCAAATATTCTCGCTTTGTTCATCTGTGAAATATAAGATGTACATGGGGAACCACCCAGAGGAAGTAGTTTAACTACTGTTGTATGGAGGGGATTGTGATCATTGACATGAAACAAAGAGAATAATTTTGTTGTAAAGCTGATGATCTTGTCTATACACCTTTACCCAAGTCACAATAAGAAGGTAAAGAAAATTACAAGTGAAATTGTAAAAATAAAATTTAAAAAATGAAAGAAAGAAAGAAGGGAGGTGGGTGAGAAAAAGAGGAGAGAGCATGAGAGAGAAAGGAAGAGGAAGGGAGAGAGAGAGAGGTAACTAGAACAGGCTTCACAAGTCCAGGGAGGGTTTTCTCATCTGTGTAAGCACAGGATGAACTGAATGCCCCCAAGGTCCCATCTGGCGCTGTGATCTAAAATTCCTGAATCATTCTGAATAACTTCCCAAAGAAATGTCCCTATACCCTAAGCTATCCATGAGATGCTTTTCCAAAGAAATGATTATTTGTATTTGAAAACAGCAATTAAAGACGAAAAACTCAACTATTTATCGTTAAAAACATCTACAGACACCAGTCACTGTTGAATTGATTCTGACTCCTGATGCCCCCACTACACCAGAGTAAAACTACTCTATAGGGTGTTCAATGCCTAACTTTTCAGAAGATTGCCAGGACTTTTTTATGCGATGCCTTTGGGTGGACTTGAACCTCCAACCTTTTGGTTCAAAATCGGCCGTGTTAATACTTCGTACCACCTGGACACTCCAAAAAAAAAAAAAAAATGTCTAGGCTAGAGAATGAGAGGTAAAAGACTATGAACTCTGACAATCAGCAGCCATGAATCTAAACTGTATTAGCTCAGTTAAAAATTTTTTAAGTTAAAAAATATATTTTTTTATTTTTCAAAAATGTATTATTTCTATTTTAACTCCACGTTCCTTAAGTATTTAATTTTTACATTTCTTGAGTGAAGTCAAACATGTAAACTTTGTCATTTGTCCAAGTTTAGGAGGCCTGGTGTAGTGCTGTGGGTTAATGCACTGGATTGCAAAGTTGCTTTGAAGCGCAATGTTGGCGGTTCAAGCTCACCAGCTGCTTCCTCGGCACCCTATACAGGGTGGCTATGGGTCAGAACCAACTCAATGACAATGGCATTTAACAACAATTTAACACTTCAATAACAACAAAAATAATAACAAAACCAAAAAAATCTCCTCCCCAACTTCCTGTCTGTCAGTGACAGTCCATTGGGGGTGGAAGTGGGAGTTGGGGGCCAAGTCCGACAGATCACTAGAATTATCTGGAGACCCTAATGTCTAGCCCTCCAACTACACACATTCTGTGTGAGTTGTTCTTGGGAGTCTACTCTTTAGAGATTTTAGAACAATGTTAAGCTAAAGATTCTGACGGCCAGCTAGATGTGTAAACCGCTGCAATAAAGCATTACAATGAAGACAGGGTATTTTGGTGGGTTTTCTTTTTTTGGTGTGTTTATGAAATAGAGAGTGAAAAAGGAGCAGAACTGATTCTTATTTTATGAGACTGCTCTGAAGTTCTAAGATTTAAGCTCAGTTAATTTTAGTAAACCATCTTCATCAATTGTTTGCTCTTTAGGACCATAGTTTTCCCCTCTGTATCTGGAATATGTTTCAGCACACAGACTATGCTAGTTTTCTCCGCACAGTTTTGTGATTTTTAGAAGACTCTTCTGTGTGTGATCCGAAGATGAGGTGTGAGTCCTATCTTACACCAAGTGTCTCAGGCAGCATCCTCCCCATAGACAGGTGGCCGTAAGACAACAAACAGTCTCTATCTTATACATTTGGTTGTATGGATTATACAGGACAGAGCTGACCAGATGTCAGACATTAGAGACTTAATTCTTTGAGAGAAATCATACTCCTAGGATTTGGTGCTATCTGTGGAGCATATGACTGGCTGGTTCGCACGCATAAAAAAGCCTTCCTGAAAATAAAGCAGCAGCAGCTCCTAAAAACTGTACAGACTTAAGGGATTTGCTGCACTGGCCTTGGAGGAGGTCACCGGCATCACCCTGCAGGTACACTAGCCCCAACTCCTGCCTAGCAGTGTGCCCCTCCCCTGTCTTAGAGCTGAGTCTCTCCTGAATGCTGCATTTGAACATATTGATTTAGCAGATGCTATTGTATTTTCTTTGTCAGGGAAAAGGAGGAAGCTGCTTGCGCTCCAGGTGTCCCTCAAGCATCGACAGGAGGTCCTCTACGAATTATTTGGTGGATAAAGTAATTCGCCAAAGATGGAGTCATTCAGTGCAGGGCAGGGGCTGGTGGTTTACTCTGTAAAGGACCACACAGTAAACACATTAGACTTTGAGGACTACTCAACTCTGCTACTGTAATGTGAAAGTGGCCACAGACAATATGTAAATAAATGGGTATAGCTGTTCCAATAAAACTTTATTTATAAAGATAGGTGGCAGGCTGATTTGGCCCACAGGCTGAAATTTGCCAACCCCTGATATAAAGCTGAGATGTTCAGGTCTGGATTTAATCTTCATATTGCTACTTACTGCCTTTGCTCTGAGAGTTTAATGTCGTTGCTCTTTGCCATTAAGTTGGTACCAACTCATAGAGATCTTGCATAGCGTTTCTGAGAGCAATTGGTGGGTATCAACTACTAATCCTGCAGCTGGCAGTCCAGTGCTTATCCTACAGCACCACACCAGGGCTCCCCATTTTAATCATTTACCCAAAAGTCACCGCACATATATTTTCCTTTCATTAAAACTATTCTCCTTTAGGATACAAACAAAATAGCACCTTAAAAATGTTTACAGAAACAGAGAATGAAGTTCTTTCCCCTACTGAGTACTACGTTGTGGATATGAGTTTTAAAAGTGAGCATATAATTCCAAGTGGAGGTCATTTTTATTTATTTAGGCATTCACTGGATACAACCATATTCCCATAGGGTGGGTTGTCAGTAGGACCCCCTTCTCCTGAGACTAACACAGAGAGCCCACAACAAGGACTGACTTCCCTTCGGGGACGAGGATGCTGTGCTATCAGGGTAGGATGATGCAGAGGAACCAAACCCCAGCATGTTGTGATGGGAAAAGTCATCTGTTACATTCTGAGCTCAGCAAGTCACAGGGCAGCGTCCTGTGGCATGACCGCATGGCTGGACACCTGCCTGGGCAGTTCTGTCCTGGACTACTGGGCTAGAGCTGTGCTGGAAGAAACGGCTGAGCAGAACGCCCGTCTACAAGGGAAGGAGGGTAACAAGAGATCCCGAAGGATCAGGAAGTAACTGGCAGGAAGCTGGGTGACACTTCCCCAGCAGATGCAGTATGACACGCCTCACATGTGATTGCCTACCATCAGCTAGGCTGGGTTTTCCTTAAAAAAAAAAAATGGCTTTAGTCAAATGCACACCTTCCCAAAGGAGTGAAGATTAAACAGCAAAATCATGAGATTACAAACAGACCACGGATGCACGTAAAAAGAGTCCGTCTCCACAGATTACGAGCCCGTAAAGAACTGAAGAGATGTGAGCTTGGTGGTTTTCTGAGATGCTTTGAACTGGCTTTGTGAGCATTTGTTTTCTAATTAGGACTGAGGAGTGAGGCTAATTAGATCACAGGGATGACAGTACTTCAGTGGGTGCAGGGTGCCCCCCAAGTGTCACAGGGGGCCACTTACGTCCCGTGCACCGCTTCCAGTGCTCATGGCCCACCGTCAGCAGCTCCTTTACGCCGTCGTCCATGGCTCTGGTGAACTTGCTGACGGCGTCACACTTCTGCTCTCTGTGGGCAAAGACAGCCTGTCACTGAGCCAGAAGGCCCGGCCAGGGACACCACCACACCTTTGGACAAGTGTTCCATACGGTGGGACACACGCAGCCCCACACAACCATAGGCTCTTGGTTTTCTTGTATTTTAACAACTACTGTTTCACTAAATTGGTCTTAAAGACAGGGCTGATTCAGGTGCTTTACAGAGCTACTTAAAAGTCCCTCAGGTACGGGTTCACCTTGCTTCTTCCTCACTTCCTTGTGATTTTTAAACGAAAATTTCTCTAAAGCAAATAAAAGCACCATTTGGTGAATATCTTCATTAGTGAAGTTCCAATTACCAGAAGTACTGTCAAATTGTGGCTATAAACAATAATATGGGTTACTCATGGTGGCTGTTCCAAGTTCTTTACCGAGTCACTGAACATTAACATGTTAACATACACAACCATGGCTAACTGACATGAAGGCATCTACTTTGAAAGATGTGTGTAGTCTGTGTGCCAACACAACAAGACCATCACCACATACCACGGACTAACAAGAGCAGAGGATAAGACACTACACAGTAGTGCCCTGAGAGATCATTTTTAGTTAAAAAAAAAAAAAATCATTTTCCTGTAGGTACATATGTACAGAAGGGTTGCAAAGACAACATCAACATGTTAACACTGATTTTCTGTCTGGGGAGTTTGTTATTTTTTAAATTGCTTATTGCCTTGTCTATAGTTCTGGTAATACATAAGTAATGATTTTATGGTAAGAAAAAAGCTTCTTAAAATAAAAAAAAAAAAGGAAAAGATAAAGCCAAGTTTTCTTATTAGTCCTTACTCCAAATTTTTAACTGGGCCTACATTTGAAAAAAGATGAAGAGCAAGAAATTTAAAAAGATACAGGAAAAGCAGGTTAGCGGTTGCTCCTCTCAAGGCAGTCCCCGGAGGGATTTTGCTTTGCCGACTTGTATGTGGCGGCCCCTGGCTGCACGCCACTCCTTTCATCAGACTTTATTGCAGTAACCACCAAGCAGTGTCAGGGCAGAAGCCAGCGGCTTCCAGGGGAGCCGACAGCGATCTCGTGCTGTGGTTTTTGTAACCACAGGTGCTATCTCCCTTGCCCTCTGACCTCTGACGACAAGCCCTGCTCATTCACCAGCCTAATGTGACCACCCAAGCTCCAGCCCGGGCCTTGATCTGTGCGCCAAGAAGGCAGATCAAGCTGGAGGCAAAGGCCCCTTTGGTAGTGTCTCTTACATTTCCAGTAAGTCCAAGTCTGGGGCTTCAGGTTCCATGGTGGAAAATACCATAACTCCCACCAGCTCATCTTTTTCAGCCTTCCTCTTTCCGGTTTTCCACTCCTAGAAGGAAGCACAACACAGCGTTAAGGGGACAGCAGTGTCAGACTAGCCTTGTGGAATTCCCTAAAGACTCGGCGGCCTGACCATCTTTATCTCATTTTCAGGAAGGACGCCCTGAGCCACTACCCTCGGCATTCTGGGCCAAGTGCCTGTGCATCTCCAACGTAACCACTCTTCAGAGTGGCCCTTCTGAGAACAAGTCTTTGGGAGGGAACAACATATATTGTTGCTGTTATATGCTGTCGAATCAGTACTGACTCTGTATAGGGTTTCTGAAGAACGGCTGGTAAGTTTGAACTGCCAACTTTGGCTTTAAACTGACCTTGAGGTTGAGTGCTTATCCTATAGTGCCATACCAAATTATATAGATAGATAGATAGA